AGAAAAGTACATTCCTCTAATACCAACAAGCATTGATCTGGCGTTTCAGTGCTCTTTCCCTTAGGGGTCGTGCCCGTTTCTAACGAATACGTGCCCCACAGAAGTCGCGGATGTTGTGCATGTCAGCAAACCATCCGGAGTGGCCTAAACTGTCGCCTCTAACTTTATTTGGTTTGCCTACCAACATAAAAGTGGGGAATAAACCGAAATCCCAGAGACAGGGTATCAGAGCTCACGAGATAAAGGGAGCTATCAGCAGGGAAAGTTTACACAGAGAAGGCTCCCAAAGAAGCCGGGGTTAGTGTGTTTTAAGGACTAGGGCTGGATTACACGGGCTGGGGTGGGGGTATTAGGAGGAAATCCCTTTCACTGATCCCCGGCCCCATGCGCGGAACTGCTCGCCTCCCTCCCGCTGCCGGCAAGGTGGGCTGCGCCTCCGCGCCCCTGTGAGGGCCGGGGCCGCTCCGCCAAGCGTGGCACGGGGCGGGGGTCGGTGGGGCAGGGCTACGACTAAAATATTAAAAAAAAAAAAAAGAAAAGAAAAAAAAACCGAAAAAAGGAAAAATATAAAAAAAAAGGAAAGGAAAACAAAACAAAACGGTGCAGGGGATCGCCGGAGCCGCTGAAGGAGCCCCCCCGCCTCGAAAGCACACATGCACAGAGCGGCGCGGAGCTGCGCGACAGGACAGTGCGCACACTGCGGGCCCCTGCGCGGTGCGGGGCCGCGGCCATCGGCGACGGTGGGGTACATCCTAGCGGCGGCTGGCTGCCATGGGAGCGGGCTGGCCGCACTCCGCGCCCGCCCCGGCCGAGGGGGAGGCGGTCAGGGACCGCCATGGGAAGCGGCAACTTGTGGCGGCGGCCGCGGAGACGGAGCTGCTGCGCTGCGGAGGGGCCGCCCGCCTCCCCGGGGGACGGACGGGGCGGGAGGGACGCGAGTCGGCGGGACGGGGCGGGGGAGGCTCGGCCCGGCTCCCCGGCAACTTGTAATGCGATAAGAGGGGAAAGCGGGGGGTGGGGGAGAGGGAAGTCTCTCCCCACCTCCCCCCCCCTTTACTTTTACAAAAAAAGGGGGGGCCTGGGAGAAAAGCCGCTGTTGGGAAAGTGCGTGCGGAGAGGGAGGCTCGGCGGCGGCGGGGAGAGGATCGGGCTGCGGGGCTGGGGGCAGCCCCGGCGGCAGCCCCGGCAGCGCGGCACGGGAGGCGGAGGAGGAGGAGGAGAGTAGGAGGAGCTGCCGTGTGACCCGCTCCGCTCCCAAACTTGAAAGTTTATCTGCCCGAAATCAAGAGCGGCCGCGGTGCGCGCAGCGCTCCTCGGCACGGAGCGGAGGCAGCGACCGGCGGAGCCGCCGAGCAGGGAGCAGCTGGCGGCGCCGCTGAGAACGAGGCAAGGCAGGGGAGGGGGGATCACCCGGCGACAACAACAACAGCCACCCCCACCCCCCAAAACTGGGAGACGATTCATACTATTTGCTGGAGACCAAGGACTTGCTCATCGGCGCACACGCGAGCCCGCTGTCATTAGCTAACAGGACACACGGCTGAGCCGGGGGGGTGGGTGGGCGGAAGGGTGAGGAGTGTCACAAAAAGTCATTACAACCTGAGAGAGAGAGGGAGAAAGAAAAAAAACTTCCTACCAATGGACAACAGGAAGTGACCACCACCACCAACGGGGAGTCTCTGCTTGGAGAAAGAAGCTGCAAGACAAAGAAGAAGGAAGGAGAGGTGAAAGACAAAACTGCCCAAGGTCTTCTGCGTGTGCGTGCGTGCGCTTTCGAGAGCGGAGAGAACAAAAGTCAGCCGGGAAGGGGAGAGAGAAAGAGCGACGGGAAAGGAGACAGGATGGAGGAAGAGCTAGAGAGAAGCATGTGAAGATCAAGGCGAAAGAGCAGTACAACGCTGGAAAAAAAGCACACCGAAAAGAAAAGGAAAAAGAAAAGGCACACACAAAAGTTTCTTTTCCTCCTGGGAAGAAATTACTCACACACACACAGAAATCAGATGCTTTGCAGCTCAGCTTCTGGGGAAAGCGAGACCGAGAGACCAGAGGACGCAGCGTGATGTGAAGAAAGAAAAAAAAAAAACAAAAAAAAAACACCCAAAAACAAACAAAACCCAGAAAGCAGAGCAAAAGAAACTGAGAGACGGGGGGAAGAAAGCACGACAGACAGAAAAGCGATGATCGTGACCTTTCCCAACAAGTGAACCTTGCACATATGTTGTGTAAAGTGTGTGCAAAACAGATTCCCTCCTGCGTGGTGCGTGTGTGCTTCGCTGCTGCCGCCGCTGCCGCCGTTGCCGCCGCCACCGAGGCGGTCGGTGCCTCTTGCAGGCGGCGCTGCCGGTGCCGGGGAGACGCATCATTTGGCGGAGCGAAGCGGCTAATTGCGGAGCCCCGTCCTTCATTTACATATGCAGCCTGAGTCCGCTGGAGCCGCGCCAATCCGTGCTCGCCCCCAGCACCATTAATCGCCATGCATTATTCACAATCATAATTACTGAGCCCCATGCGCGCTGCGCGCAGCCGCCCCAGCCCGCCGCCCCGCGCACACCCCGCCGCCCCGCGCACACCCCGCCCGGCTCATCCCCCGCTCGCTCACCCGCTCACCCGCGCACTCACTCGCTCACTCCCAGTTTGGCTGGCTGCTGAGCGTTGCCTTTTTTTTTTTTTTTTTTTTTTTTTTTTTTCTCCTTTTTTTTTTTTTTTTTCCCCGGGGTGTTTGGTTGCCTTTTCTGTTATTTGTTTGGTTTGTTTTGCAACTCGACTTTTATTTGTGAACAGTTATTTCCAGCCCCCGACCCCCCTTCCTTCGTTCCCAATTCCTTCCCCCCTCCTTGCCACCTCCACGTCTCTGATGCCTCTGCAAAAAGCAGAGTCAAGACGGCTCAGTTAGCAGCATGTCTCGTCGAAAGCAAGCGAAACCCCAGCATCTCAAATCGGACGAAGAGCTGCAAGCAGAGGTAGTTTCTGAGCACGGTAAGGGCTCCCGGCACCTCTTTCTCCTTCTCTCTCTCTCTCTCTCTCTTTTTGTGAGTGTGTTTCGGATGGAGATAGGTGAATTTATGGTGATGGTGAACATGGGAGCGCAATTACTCTGCAGCGGGAGAATGGGAATTAGAGCAGCCGGGGGAAGAGGCAGCGGAACTGAGAAGTTCGCAGTTTAGCCAAGTTTCTGCAGCCCACCCCCTGCCTAACCAGCCCTCCCAGCAGCAACCTCCCGGCCTCCCCAGCGCTTTGATCGCGGCTGGGCTCAGCGGCGGGGCTCGGCCCTCCCTCCCCACTCACCCGGGCTCGAGCAGCTGCAGGAACGGGCGCCCCGGAGCAGCGCCTGCCTCCTCCTCCTCCTCCTCCTCCTCCTCCTCCTCCTCCTCTCCTCTCCTCTGGGCTCCTTCTCTCTGTGTTATTGGGTACCCCCTTTTCCCCCGTCCTGCTCCCTCCCGGCGGAGGCTCGGAGCGGACAGAAGCCATGTTCCACTCTCCCCACCGGCTCCAGGAAAGTTGGGGCGGCCGGGGCCGGGGTGCCCTGCCCGAGGCCGAGGGAGGTCCCGCGGGCCGTGGGCTGCCGGGCCCCGGGACAGCCCCAGGGCTGCCGCTGCCCGGGGATGCCCCCGCGGCCCCGGGTCGCCCACGCAGGCTGCGGGGGCTGCCCGGGCCGCTCCCCCCGTTCTCCCCGGGGGACCGGGGGGTGACCGTGGTAGGAGCGGGCAGAGCCGCTCGGGTGCGCGGGGCCAGCGGAGTTGGTTTCATTATTTTCGAGAGGATTGAGCAGAAGCTTTTAGCCTTCCCCCCTGCGCTACCTTCCCCCCTTCGCCTCCTGGCTCTGCTGCGACTGTAATTATCATCGGTGGTAGGTGACACGGAGTGCCACCACCGCCACCAGCCCCTGTCGCGCCGGCTGTAGGCAGTGGGGAAGGGTTATTTTCTCGCCCATCCGCCATTCCTCCCTTCCTTCCCACACGCAGGCACACGCACACTTGCTTTCATGCATCTGGGCTGCCAGGCAGCTAGTGAACAAGTGTCCAAAGCTGGAGAGATTTGGACTGTAATCCTGCTTTATTTCCACTTTGCTGTAATTTTCTTGTCGGGAATAGGGCTGCAGGGTTTTCTTCTTCCATCTTACTTTTTCCTTTTTTTTTTTTTTTTTATTAGTTTTAATTTCCTTAGTAGTCCCTGGCACTGCAGCATGCAAAGCCCATGCTCTCTTCTCCTGGACTAAGTTGAGAGCTTCCACTTGAAAGTTTTTCTTTTCCTCTTTACATAGAGCCCACCGCTTTCTTAGTTTCTCACATAACCAAGCGGGATCCCCAATGTTTTTGGCTTTCTGTGTAGGCCCTTTGCTCCACTATATTATCTCCTCTCTCTCTCTCTCTCATTCCTTTCGAAAAGTAAGACAAAAAAGTCCTTCTCCTGCTTTAAAACTATAATTACTTTTAAGTTGCATCTGTGAGGAGAGAAAGGCAGTGAAGTTGAAGCCTAAAGGAGGATTTTGACTATTGTATCTGAACTTTACAGCCCTGAAGCTTAAGGCAGCGTGAATCCACTTCATCAGGTTAAAACATCTGTCAGACTGGCAAATTGTTAAGCCTCCTGCTCCTTCCCAGGGTGTTTGGGGAGGCAGGGAGCAAGTCCCACACTATCCAGAGCTGCTAAGGGGGCTCCTGCCACTGCTCCGGGAAAACCCACTTGGGTGTTGACAATAACAGGCACACAGAGAAATGCTTCCTTCTGTCACAGTGGAGGAGCAAAGCAGTGCATTTTGAATTTTTTTTTCCTTTTCCTTAGGAAAGACTGGTAGTGTAAAATAAATTAATATAAACAAGTAGATAAGAATTAGTATTTTATTATGAAAGCAAGATTTGTTGAGCCCATCTCTGTTAGGTTGGACTCTAGGTCTAAGAATTTATCATTAGCATTATAAACTTTTACATGCTCTGAATCCATTTCAGTACAGGAAAATAAAACCCCAGTACTTCATTATGACACTCCTGGTGAGTTAATAAATTGAAAAAAATTGTTAAACTAGGTTTTTGTTTTGTTTTGTGAATCTTATCTATGTAGCCATGTCACCCGAGATTAGAACAAGAGATATGCTAAAAAGAAACGCTTGCATATGGTGGGTAGATTAAGGACAAAGAATCTTTTTGTCATGGAAATGTTTTTTTTTTTTCCCCTTTTTGGGGGGGTTTTGTTTTGTTTACTTCATCACATAGAATTTCTCACACTTGGTTTGTTTTGTATTGCCCTCAATGACTACATGATCAAATGAATGGATTTATTTCTGCCGAATGAGAAAGACAGTCTTTCCATCAAAAGGACTACATTGCATCCCAGTGAGGAATTTTAAAGCGTTATTATTGTGGTCCCTGAATAGCACAAAATCGGCTTTCACAGCAGCCCTAAAATGCAACAATGTAAAAATACTTTTCAGCCTTAGAAGGCTGTTATCAAAATGTGCTATGTTTCCTTTTATTAAAACATATTTTAATTAATAGAGTGAAACCCTCAATTGTTAACAATTAACAAGCTAAAGTTGGGTTTGCACTTTCAATTGAGAAATGTGAGCAAGGTGGAGACAGGCTACAGGAGCAGAGGGCTATCTAGTGCACATTAGTGTAACGTAAATCATTTACATGTTATATTAGGAAGCCTAACGATTGCCATACTTGAAAGCAATTTTATAGGCCAGATATAATGAGAGCCCCAAGTCTCGTGAATTAAAACACTTCTTGTCAAGTCAGTGTTCTTCGTTTCTGTCCACAGCTGTGATCAAGATATTGCTACAGTTCCTGAGTGTATTTTGCAACAGGCCAAAAATAGTTCGCACAGCGCCAAGAATATTTGTCATTTTATGAAAGCAAACTGTTTAAGCAGTATTATTTCATATGTGTAGCCTTTTCAGTCATTTTGCTCCTTGTCTCCAAAGGAGTTAATGCAAGACTAAGCAAATGAAGCTTATTTATTTAATGAAATCATGTTTAATATCACCTCAAAATAGATTTTATAAAATGGAGCATTTAAAAATTAATGTCCCATAAATATAATCCTCACAGTGAAGGGACATTCATAGCAACAGAGAGAAACCTGGAAGTTTGGGGTGCAGGACGGAAGACAAACATTAGGCCGGGTTTTAAGCTGACTGGTCACAGCAGAACTTTCATGCTAACGTTATCACAAAAGTTTTAGAATCTAAGCAAATAATTTTATTGCCATCTTCGGTTACAGCATATCACAACTTCATTCAAACAGGACATTGTCATGATGGTGAGAAACTGTTGGAAATATGAAGATAATTAGTATGTCATCAACTACAGATATACACTCAAAATCGTTAGAAATTATTTGTCAAAAATGAAATGCTAAAAAATATATTTTTCAATAATTTTGAAAAGAAATGTTAACAAACAGCTGGCAATGTTATATTTCTTGAATAATTGAGGTGTAGAAGAGTGAACAAAAATACGTATTAAAAACCCCACAATTTGAGGTTGCTAAATGAGAAGATCTGCTGGAAATCATTTAAAAACAGCAGCAGCAGGACTCAGATGACTGCCTGTAGAATACAATAATCTCAGTTTCTCAGTAAATGTAACGCATTGTAATAGCTGGAATTACATTTCTAATACACTTGCCTAATTCACCAGATTACAAATGAATCAGAATTGTAGATACAATAAACATGCTTCAACTCCAACTAATTTTAAAATTAAACCATGGACATAGCATTTGTATTTTTAAAGTAGAGGTAATGGAAAGTGTTTTGTTTGTTTGTTTTTGGGGTTTTTTTTTGTTGAGTTTTTTTTTGTTGGGTTTTGTTTATTTTTTAAGTGATGAAAAGTGATTCTTAGAGTGTGCAAGTGAGGTTCTGGTACGAGTGATGACAAATGGTGCTTTGGACCTCTTCATGTGAAGTTTCTGGCAAAGATATATTTAGCCTGAGGTGGGAGGGATACCTTGTAGTGAGCTGTGTAAAGAGAGTTTTCTAATGTGCCTTTTGCAGTCATTTCTGAAAATATTGGACCTCTTTTTTTCTCCCACTCTTCAATACATACAACATAATCTAAACTAATTGATCTGTTCCATCTTGGTAAAGTGGGGTTGGACTGTGCAGTTTGGGGCAGTTTGGTGACTGCACTTAGTATTCTTCTGGAGTATGTACACAGACACACAGGCTCAGCTACAGCAAAGACACAGTTCAGTATGTAGCAGCCAGCCTCATGTGAGTGTGGTCACTTCATCTGCATATAGGGAGGGTTAAAACACATTTTGGGGGGACATTCCTCAGTATGAAATTGAGGTTATTCTCTATTGCCTAGACACTGTTGCATTTAAAACTTGAGAAGTCATGAGCAGCTGTCAGTAAACATAAAACTTAGGTGATATTTGTAAATATTTATTCTGAGGCAAGTGTAAGAGAAGGCTTTTTGTTTTGAAAAATAAAGGGCAAATTAGTATCGCTATAAATTGTCCCTTTGATTAGAAATGGTAATTGAAACTTTATATAAATACTTTTCAAATACAGCAGAGACTTCATGTTCAAAGTACATAACATTTGTGATGGTGTAATTTTAAAAATACTCTGAATTGTGTTAGCCATAGAAAAATATTTGGAATAATAAGGAAACTACAACAATTGGACAATTTGCTGATGTATGTATAACAATGGAAGCAGACAAAACTGGGTCAGATTTTATCTGGTGATGCTGGACTTGAAGTCTCACCATCTCCTGGGGCAGACATTAAGGCACTTTTTTCAGAGTGAGAGGGAGGAAATTTTGAAAAGTGTTTGTTCAAATTCTGTGCAATTAAGCTATTAACATGCATACATTTAGCTGTTGAAAATTACTTTTCCTTGCCTAAGACAGAGGAAAAGCTACAATTCAAAAAACATGCGGCATTAGAAAAAGAGTAAAAAAAAAAACCCTAATTATTAAAGTGTATTAGTGTCATCTGAAAAATAGTCTGAGTCCTGGGAAGAT